CCCCTCGGCGTCCCTGCTCCCCCTGTGAGGTGCCTGCTCCTCCCTGTTGTCCCCACCGGGGTCTCTGCTCCTTCCCTGTCCTCCCCGCGGGGTCCCCGCTCCTCCTGCGGGGTCCCTGCTCCTCCCTGTTGTCCCCGCGGTGTCCCTGCTCATCCCGTGTGTGTGGGGGGTCCCTGCTCCTCCCCGCGGCCGTGCAGCCAGAGCGGGACACCCAAAACCCGGTGTCCCCTCTCCTGCGACCGCCCCGTCGGTGACAACGGATGGGACGGGACCTCGGCAGTGCCACCGCCAGCTGCGGCACAGCCGGGGATGGGGACACCGGTGTCCCTCCCGGGGGCGGGGGAGGGTCCCGGGGTGGGATGCCAGGGGGATGCCCCGCCCCTCCCTCCCCGCTCCTACTTTGGATACTCCCAGTCTCCAGCAAAAGCTCAGGAGGCCCTTAAGGAAGATGAGAGAGAGGTGGAGGTGGAGGAGGATGAAGGGGAGAAGAGCCTCTTTGAGCTGCCGCACGAGGCTTTGGGAGAGAGAGAAGATGAGCAGGAGCTGCGGAAGGGACAGAAGAACAGACAGACACAGACAGAGAGACGCCGTGAGCGGGACCGGGGACCCCCCGGGGGTCGGAGCAGCCGCAGGGACCGTGGTGGGAGCACGGGGGGGGGGGCGCCCCGGGGGGGGGGGGGGGGGGGGGGGGGGGGGGGGGGGGGTCGAGGACATCCGTCTGTCCGTCCGGGCGGTGCCGGGGGGGCTCGGGCCGGCCCCGGGCACGGCCCCTCACCTCCTTCAGCCGTTCCATGTCTTTGAGGTAGAAACCGATGTAGAAAAGACTCAGGTAGGAATTTACAAACTGAAACTGCGAGAGAAGGGCGGGGAGTGAGCGTGGGGGGGGCACCGGCATCCCTCGGTCCCCTCTGTGTCCCCCGGTGCGACCAGAACCCTTCCAGCCCCCTCTGTCCTTCCCCCCCGAGGTTTTTGGGACCCCTCCAGACCCCTCTGTACCCCCCAGCACCATCGGGACCCCTCCAGTCACCCCTGTCCCCCACAGGACCCCTCCAGTCCCTTTCTGGCGCTGCTGGGACCCCTCTGTCCCCCTTGGGAACCCTCCCATTCCCTCTGTCACCCCATGGGGCCACTGGGACCCCTCCAGTCCCCTCCAGTCCCCCCGTGCCCCCCGTGTCCCCCTCACCAGGACGATTTTGATGATGAGGTGTTTCTCATAGGCGCTCTGCAGCCGGTAGTTCTCTGCAAAGCACAAAGGGGGAGGTTCACGGGGGGCTCAGGGGGGGTGATCCCAGCTCCCAGCCCCGCCTGGAGCCCCCCCCCGGACCCCCCCACGCACCCATGTCGTTGAGCCAGTAGGCCACCTTCTTGTACAGCTCGTCACAGGCGGTGACAATGAGGGCCAGGATGATCTTGGGCAGGAAACGGATGATCCGGGGCAGCTCCTGGATGCTCAGCACGAATTCCTGTGGGGATGGGATCAGGGGTGGGATCAGGGGCAGGATCAGGGGCAGGGACAGAGATGGGACAGGGACAGAATCAGGGATGGGACAGGGACAGGATCAGGGGCAGGGACAGGGATGGGACAGGGACGGGACAGGGGCAGGGACAGGATCAGAGGCAAGGAAAGGGATGGGGATAGGGACAGGGTCAGGATCAGGATCAGGGGCAAGGAAAGGGATGGGGACAGGGACAGGGTCAGGATCAGGGTCAGGGACAGGGATGGGACAGGGGCAGGGACAGGGATGGGACAGGGACAGGGACAGGGACAGGGATGGGACAGGGACAGGGATGGGACAGGGACAGGGA